TTTCATTGTAATAGACGTTAAGTATGATTTCTTAGCATTCTTGTTAAAATTACATTTTAAAATGGAAGCTGAGAAAAATTAAATGTGGCTTAAGAATCACATGCATGCGTGCCCCCAACTTCTACACGAAGAGCATTGCTTCCTAAACCTCATCACATTCAGGGCTTATGACAACCAGCCAGACAGCGTCTTTGAGCCCGGCATCCTCCAGAAACACGCAGCCTGACGCACGCACATCCGAGGCGTGGCCGAGCCCGCCACAGACGCGGAGGGCCTTCTGGGGAGCAGTTCAGAAATGGGAAGTCAGGGCCGCCGCAGCGGTGGGCGCTCGGCGGTGTGAGCCCGCCTCCCCAGCACACGTGTCTCTGTGACGCCGTCTTTACTGCTACTCGATGCATGAAATCTGCTCTCATTTTAGAGCTGCTGGCAACCCTTGACCCCTTTAGTGGAGACACAATGTGACCTTTCTATTGTCATCGGCTTTCGTTCTCCTGAAAATTCTATGAATTTTTATTACAAGTCTTTTTTAAACCAAGCTGTGGCTCCAGCCAATTACTTGACGCAGGCGAGATGAAGTTGTTGGAGTGAGTGTTGCGTGAGTTTTACAGCCGGCGTCTCGAGCGGAGGCCGGCCCATGTCCTGCAATGTCACCTGCCAGGGACTGCCGAGCCCGCTATTGGATAAATACATCATTTTATGGACCATTGATTGTTCTATAAGCCCCGTGGAGTATTATGCTCTATGATCAGACCATTTAGATTGTGTGTGGAGCGCAGAAAGCGCCATATTCAGGATGGTACTAAAAGTGCCATTTGTGTATTTTATAGGTGTCATTACAGGGGAACTTCTCTCTGTAGGCCCTGTTTACTGCAAAATTTTTTAGTCTGTAATGACATTTTTCATTCACAACGTATGCCTTCAAGAGAGGGGGCCCTTGTTTTATTTGTTTCATTCGCATTTACTGCACAAATTCTGTACGTTTTAATTAAATGTAAGCTTAACAAAGGCATAAGGTATTTATTCTGTGGGAGAATGACGACCGGGAGGAGAGAATGGCACCCCCCACCCGGAGGCAGGCAGGGACCAGCCCCGCCTGCAGCCTCCCGGGGCACAGCCGCTGGCGGCCGCTCGAGTTTGCTGGTCCTGGAGGCGGAAAGGACGCAGGAGGAGGAACCGAGCTTCCCGGCCGCAGGAGGGGGCACTTCCCCCAAAGCCCATTCTCAGCCCTCTCGGGACCCCTCCCACTTCCACAGAGCTGCAAGGGTGCCCTGGGCCCCGCGCACCGGCAGGGAGCGTGTGTGGGGTGTGCTGGAACTGCCCGAGCAGGCTCGGGCTGCCTCTCGCCCACACTCACCCTGCTGCGCAGGGCCGCACCCCGTCCTGCGGGAACCAGCCCGAAGGGCTGCCTCCAACTCGCCCACGAGGAGCTGCTGTCACTGCCCCTTGAGCAGTGCAACCCACGTGCTCTGTGAGACGTGCCACTGTGCCGCGGGGCAGAGCTCCTGGGCCGAAACCGCACCCGTCGGTCACGCGTGCGGGTGAGCTCCCCGGTCTGCACACGCAGGAACCAGCTCAGACAGGGAAGTCGGCGTGCCCGGTGACTTCCTGGGCCCCGGCTGCCAGAACTGAAGTCACAGCAGAGACTCGCACTAGTGTAGGTGACGTGCGGACTTGCTCAGGTCAGAGCGGAAGGTGCCTCGGTGGGAGAGCCCGGCTCGGGCCGTCCCGTCGCACAGGTGCAGCCTTCCAGAGCGGTGCCGACGGCTCCCGCAAGGTTATTAAACTGCTGAGTCAAAGAGGGGCCGCACTCACGTTTAGGAGCCGTGCTGGACAGAAGCGGGCTCTGGCGCGGTGGAGATGGCGGCACAGTGATGCTCCGTCACGCCATGGTGACACTGTGTTCAAAGCCATGTTCACCTGTGCAGGTCATGCTAACGGTCCGGAAGTGGTGTTGCCCACCTCTGGATTCCGGTAAATGCGGACAGAGTCCGGGGCAGCCTCGTCACCAGTGCCGGGAGGGGTCGGGCACACCTGGGCAGCAGGTGGCCCTCTGTCCAGTGCGGACGGCGGGGGATTGCTGTCCCTCAGCTTGCGGCACCTCCCCGGAGTTGTCCCGAGAATGGGACGTGTGTCGTCCCGTGGCAGTTGTCCCTCCTGTTTGATGGGAAGGCAGTGTGCACCCTCGAGTAATAACTGGGGAGGGGTGACGTGAAGGCCACCTCCCTTTCCTCTGTGTCTCTCTTTTTTACCACACTCAGAGTTAGATCAAAAGTGACCTTGAAATTAAAGGAAGTCTAGAGCTGTGGAGGACAGCAGAGGCAGAATCCAAGTGGGCAGGCCAGGTATCCTGAGGCACGCAGATGCCCCACGAGATGGGGAGCCACAGGATCACCCAGCGGGTGGACGGCAAGCCTGCCAGGCAGGCGGGCCAGGCCCAGTGGGCGGCACACTGACCGTGGGCGGCAGAGGCCTCCCCACTCCCAGCCGAGCAGGCCTCTGAGGGTCGGAGCTGAGAAGCAGCGTGAGGCTCGGGTCAAGCACCCACACGGGAGCCAGCCCGTGTTTCGTGGGGTCCCCCCTGTGCTTTAGCCCGGCTCACGGCCCTGCTGACCTTTGAACCCCCAGAAGCCACAGACCCTGTGTTCTTGTGAGGCTGCCAAGGGGGAGCACACAGGTGAGCTCTGACGGTGCCCATGACGCTCACCTGTTCCCGAGATTCAGGGGCCCTGCCGTCTTCTGTGCTCGGAGAGTGACGGAGAGAAAACGGAGGCAGGGTCTGTCCCCAGTCAGGTGAGCCGTTCACTTCTGTTTCATGGTTTTCAACTGCGTTGACACCCAGCGTCACTTTGTACCAGTCTCGGGTGCAGCACTGCACACAGTGTCCCTGACGCTCCCGGCACCAGCCTGTTCTCTGGGGGTCCGGTTCTGCTTTATTTACTCCGTTCATTCGGCCCCACGCGTGAGTGAGGTCACAGGGCACTTGTGTCCGTCCGACTGGCTCACTGCACTTGGCACGACATGCTCCAGGCTCCTCCACGCGTTCGCAAAAGATGAGATTTCGTCGTTTTTAGGGCCGAGCGGTGCTCTATTGTGTGTGTTTGCCGCGGGTTCTCATCCACGCGTGTACCCGTGTGGTCCCTTGGGCTGCGTCCACGTGCGGGCGATTGGAAGTAACGCTGCAGTGGACACGGGCTATTTCAAGTTAGTGTCCGGGGTTCTAAGCATCTGCACCCAGTGGAGGAATCCCTGGGTCACCAGGCAGACCCCGTTTTCATGTTCCGGGACCCTCCACACTCCTTCCCACAGTGGCCGCACCAGTCTGCGCCCCCACCAGCAGCACACACGGTCCCCCAGGTGTGCCGCTGGACCCTGGGATGCTTGGTCACCTGCAGGATGTGGCAGTCTGCTCCTGCCTGGATGAGGAGCCTGGTTCCCCCGCCGCCGTCCTCCCAGCCCTGCACGGCCCCTGCTGTTCGGGACTCAGCGGCCCCCAAGTGGGCCGGCGGGACCCGCTACTGACGTGGAGTGTCCTGGTTGGCTGCACAGGTCTTCTCCAGACCCAAGAGTCTGTGACTCCATGGTCCTCCCAAGAGTCATGCCCGAGACAGTCTGCTGAGAGAGAAGAAGGTGAATTGGCACTGATCTGGGTTTAAAAAATGGATTGACTTACACAGCCCACGTCCTCACGGGGCTGAAAGAACATGGGTTACGGAAAGTCGACACTGAGAACTCACCTCAAGCCCCTGCTGCTGGGCCCAGCACAGGCCAGCGAGCGGTGGTGGGGGGGCTGCCCTCTGCAGCCCACGGGGACCGACTGCGAACGTGCGGGGAGCGTGCGAGCACTGGGCCAGGAGTTCAGGTCTCTAACTCCTGGTGCACAGCTCCAAGTCTGGGACCGCGGGGTCGGAGCCAGACAGATCCTCGCAGCCGCGTGGCTCCACAGCTTCCGTGGTCCCCGCTGAGAGCTGAACCCCAGGGCGGCCCTGCTGCGGCCCGTGCTCAGAGCCGGCTGGGGTGGGAGACTTTCTTTCGGGGCGGCACTGGTGGTGTCCACAGAACGGCTCCTGTTTAAGGAGCGAAAGCAATAAGTCATCTAACCTTCTAAGTCCTTCCCTCTGTAGGGAAGTTTGCCCTTTACAAAACCACCCGCATTGGAGGGAGTGAAGTGGACCGTTTCGGCCGTGCAGTTGCCGGAGAGACGCGGGCCTAGTGGACCTGGTTCCTAGATCGTCCTGGTGGAGGCAGGAAGGGGGTGCTGAGAAGACCGAGGGAAGCTTTGGGGGTTGAAGAAGAAAACTGGAGCCTGTTGGGAGAGCCAGTCCCTTTCCAGGAAAGTAGAGATTAGGGCTCTCACGTGTGTGTCAGTCGGTTCGGTTACTGAGCACCAGCCTGTGCCTCAGACGACAGTGGGCGTGGGGCTGCGTGCCCACCGGGCCCCTCCACGGTCTGGCTCTGCCCCTGGAGTGTCCAGTCCACCACCCAGAGGACAGCCCTCGTCCCGGGCCCGGAGCCAGCAGCCCACGCAGGGCAGGCAGGCTTCTTTCCTCGAAGCGGGTGGCTGCTTGGTGCGTTGACCCCGCCGCGGTGCTCACTGACGGGCGGGCTTTTCCTCCCTTTGCTTGAACACCCCCCCCCCCCCCCCCCCCCCCCCCGTCTAACAGTGGGCATTGAAAAGGGACCTTCCTTTGGCCAGGTGATGCTGCGTCTGATCTTCCCTTCTCCCCAGGCAGCACGTGTCTGTCAGAGACCACAGGCGGTGTGTGGCGTGGGGCTGGCTCCCTCCCAGGGCAGGGCCCTGAATCCGCCGTCAGGGCGTCAGAGCAGGAGTGCGGAGGGTCCAGAGCACCTGTCGGGTCCCCGCGGGCAGCCACCCGTGAGCGTGGTTCGGGGTTGCACGGTCCCGCCTCCACGGAGGCCGACGGTGTCTGCGGAAGAATGGTCTTACCCACTGTGAGACCGGGGCGCGTTCTGCTGGCTCTAACCGCCCCTGTCTCCCACAGGCATCGTGTCCAAGTCCTACGAGTGCCGCCTGAAGGGCCAGGGAGCCACGTTCGTGGAGACGGACAGCCCGTTCACCGCAGCTGCACTGGCGGAGGAGGCCCCCGTGGCAGACAGGCCCCTGCGGGGCGGCCGGAGGCTGGCAGCACCTGAGCAGGTCCAGCAGGTCATCATCATCCAGGGCTACGACGGGGACTTCGCCCTGGACGCCTCTGTGGAGGAGACGGCCGCGGCCACGCTGCAGACACTGGCGCTGGCCGGCCAGGTGGCCCGAGTGGTACACATCACCGAAGATGGGCAGGTCATCGCCACGAGTCCCAGCGGGGCGCACGTGGGCGGCGGGGCCCCTGAGCCCGTCCTGCCGGAGCAGGTGGCTGAGGAGGCCACACAGGTGGTGGTGGTCGGGGGCTCGGTGGAAGGCCCCGGGGCCGAGCCCCTCAGCCCCGGCAGCACCATGATACAGCAGGTGAGCAAGCAGGAGCTCCTGGACCTCGGCGAGGCCCCCGGGGCCCAGCCCGATGCCGCCTCTGCCTTGGACGCTCTGCTGTGTGCTGTCTCCGAGCTGGGCGGGGCAGAGGGCGGGGCCGGGGCTGGCGACGTGGCCAGAGGCAGCCACAAGGAGGTGCTGGTGCAGCTGCCTGGTCCGGAGGCACCGCCCCCCACCCGGCCTGAGGCCACCGAGGTCCACCTGTTCCAGGACGTGCAGGACAGCACAGCCACGCAGCCCCTGGAGGTGCTGACCCAGGTGGTCCGGCCCGCGGCCCTCGGCGCCTCGCAGGAGCGGCCCCAGGTGGCCTTCAAGAAGGTGGTGCAAGGCGTCCTCCAGTTCGCCGTGTGCGACGCGGCCACGGCCGGCCCGCTGGGGAAGGACGGCGTCACGCAGGTCATCGTGAACGAGGAGGGCGCCGTGCACATGCTGGCGCGGGACGGGGCGCAGCTCCTGGTGCAGGAGGCCGCGGCCTCAGGGCCGCACGGGGAGGTCTCGCAGATCGTCGTCACCGAGGAGCTGGTGCAGGCCATGGTGCGGGGCTCCGCGGGTGGCTTCCCTGAGGGCGCCACCCACTACATCGTGACCGAGCTGCCTGCGGGCGCACAGGAGGCAGCGGCCCTGTACTCCCACACCGTGCTTGAGGCGGCGGCCGGTGCACAGGGGCTGCTGCAGGCCGGGGCCGCGCTGGGCGCCGAGGCCGGGGGGCCCGAGCAGCTGACCAGCATGGTCATTTATACCCAGGATGGTGCCCCGGCAGCCACTGTCCTTCAGAGCCAAAGAGACAGCCACGAACTCCAGGAAGCCTGAGGCACGGGCTGGGGGTGAGAGACGCCGGGGCACTGGGCACAGGGCTCCGGAGGGGGACAGCGACGGGGCAGCTCGGAGGGGGCCCCAGCACGCCCTGCCCTCGGGATGCACACAGGGCCGCAGGCTGGACAGGCAGGAGGCCGCCCGGCACACCAGCTCTGCCCCTGGTGCTGGGAGGGCCTGGCTCTCTGCCGTGCGCCCCCCGCCCACCACACACAGACGCCTTCCCGGTCCAGCTCGCAAAGCACCGAGCCTCTGACGGAACCGTGAGCGCAGGGTGTCGTGTGGCTTGATTCCAGCGTGCAGCGTGCACACGCTTGCCGTAGGTTTGGTCGGAGACTGCAGCTGCCGGAGTTCCCACCCTGGCCCGGCCCGTCCCGTCCCCCCAGGCCAGAGCGCGCCCGCCGTGCACCTCCTGCGCCGTTCGCTCTCTCCTGGCAGCAGGTGGATCCGCGGGCTCTGGCTGTGTCCCGCTACAAAGAAACTGAGAAGTCCCAAGGCTAAGAAAAGCCTGGAAGGTTATTTTTAATTCAAACGTACCCTGGTTAAGGCAGCCCAGTGCTTCTAATTTCGACTTGGTTTCCTACAACGAAGCCTACGTGTGAAGCGTGCAGTCTGGAAAATACTGTTCACGTCAGCGTTTTGCTTTTATGACATGTGTGTTCGTGTTGGTGTCATCTGGCAGGATTTGCTTGTCATTCACATGGGTGAGTGGCTGGCGCGCACCAGTGACGTGGGGGCCACCCCGCAGCCCCGCCCCCAGGACCCGCACTGTGTGTGGTGGGTGGTGGACGCAGTCGGGCCGCTGCAGCTGTGGGTCGATCGCAAGTTCACGTTCCAACAGTTTGTTCCTTGACACAATCGCTCTTCTTTCTTTTCCGAAATTGTAAAATAATCCCTTCCCGCTGCGCACAGGTTGTTTTGTTCTGTTTCTCTTTTCTTTGAAATAAAATTGCAGCATTAACAGAGAACGGTGATGTTGTGTTTCCAGCCGTCGGCCGAGGGGCAGCGAGGAAACTGAGGAGGACTCACTGTGTCCGAGGCAGGGCCTCTCCACCGTCTGCCTGTGGGCGGGTGGGCTGGCTTCCCAAGCACCACGCACCTACGTGCCCACCCTGAACGGTGGGCACAGGCCCAGGCAGGGGCCGGTGACAGTGACGCACTGGGTCGCAGCTAGTACACAGGAGCGGAGCGGGAGAGCAGATGGAGAGAGGAGGGAGGAAGTCAGCCCCGTCCTCATTCCGGGAGAAGTGGCTCTTAGACCCCCGTCCGAGCGGACAGGGTAGGGGCGAGCTGCAGGGGGACCTCGCCTTCACGGTTCGGGGCCCTGTCCCCGGGGGGCCACTCCCTTCACACAGCAGCCCCCCAAACCACAAGGTAAAGTGTCAGGTTGGGCACGGCATTCCTGATCAGCTGTGTGTGACGGGCCCGTGCCCCATGAAGGTGGCAGGGCCGCTCAGTCCTCCACGCTGCCCCCTGCCGGCGCGACCATTGTGCTCAGGAAGGGACCCTGACAAAGAGGCACCGCTCCAGGCCTCGTCCACGTGCGGGAGGAAGACGAAAAGGGGAGGATGTTTTCCAGGGGTGGCATTTCTTCTCACTCACTCCTACGTCCACACCCTGCCGCGGGCTCGATGCTCACTCCCCACCCCACCCCGCTGTGGCCAGGCCACACTGCTGACCCTTCCGCCCCGTCCAGGCTGGTGACACACACTACCGTGTGCCACTGCTGACGTACTTGGGATGACTGTGTCCTGGGGGTGTTTACGCCCTGCCAAACCCGTGCAGCCGCGGTGTCAAACTAGCCCCTGTGCCGCACACACATGGGAAGAGCCGGCCTTGGCAGGAAAGCACGGTGCAGGGTGTGTCGCGGCCCCCGGGGACCGCAAAGGGACCAGTGGGCTCTGCAGCCTGTGATCGCCGCTGGAGCGGGTTGGCGGTCCCCTCCCTCCTCTCTTGTGGCACATCTGTCAGGACCGAAGGGTCCCTAGGGTCCCAGAAGCGAGCTTGCCCATAACGGCGACGTGCCAGCTCACAGCTGAAGTTTCTGCTGGGCCTGCAAGAGAGCCTTTTAAGTAAAAAACCAAGTGAAGGGCTGCGGCCCGGAGGCTGTAATCCACACAGGCCCCCTGGGTGCCCAGCCCCACCCAACGCAATGACCGTGCCCCAGGGACGTGTGGTGGGCAGGCGAGGAGGGCTGGCCACCCTGCCTGGGTGAACCCGAGACTCGGGTCAGCACTCCCCTTCCACAGCAGACGGGGGCCCACGCGCCTGCACGCAGGGCCGTGGGGCGGAAACGGCGGCTTCCACGAGGAGGAGAAGCGCAGCCACACGGGTCACTGGGATGCGGTGCCTTGGCGCCCCCGCAGGCGGCTGCCGGCCTCCCTCAGCGGGATGGAGCGGAGGGAGGGGACGCCCCACCCCCGCACCGCCACAGAAACACGCAGGCAGGCAGGCCCGAGTCACGGAGAGATGCAGGGAACGTCCTTTAAACTGCCGGGGTCTCTCCGAACACCAAGTGAGAGTGTTCAGGTTGGGTCAGCAGCACCCAAAGCCCGCTGCCGCCTGTCAGCCCCACGGGGAACGTGCAGACCCCCACCCCCAACACGTCATGGCAGACCCCTCGGGGCCAGGCTTGGCGGCAGTCACCCATGGGGCTGCCCACCAGGCCCGGGCCATGGTCAGGCCCGGGTTCACAGCCTCACCCCCACCCTACCCCCACCCGCTCTCTCTGCAGAGAAGCCCCTCTGCCCAGGACACGGTGCCCAGGCCCCACGGACCCCGTGCGGTGTCATGGTCCTCGGGTCCGAGAGCTCTGTGCTCCCAAGCACAGAGGTGAAGCGATGGCGTCTGGAGGAAAAGACTAAGGGGAAACAGCCTAGTGTCCCCACCCAGAGTTCGTTCCAGGAAGAGAATTGAGGAACAAGAAAGGCCACTTACTTAGCAAACTGGAAGAAGCTGTGTGTTTCCACTTCTTTTCCCGCCCGACGTTAGCCCGTCGTCTCAGAGTGTGCGGCTCACTTCGGCAGCCTGCTCCGGTTCCGTGTTGAGGAGCGCCGCTCGTTTCTCCTCCAGGGTGACACCGTCTCACGTGGAGGAGAAAGTTAGCTCGGGTGGCAGTTACAGGTTTCGGAAGCACCTTCTAATCGGGGATGGGTGACTCATTCTCAGCTTCAGCAGGCGATCCATCTGACATGCGAGGGGAAAAATTAGCAGCTGTCACCGCGTGACGAGTTAATTTCCTGATCGGCCTGACACTGAAAAGCCACTTGGAGGCATGGCGGGGGCTGGCGGGAAAACCTGGCGTTGCCGCGTGACTACAGACAAGGAGAGGGCAGAGAGCCAGGCCGGGGAGGAGCAGGCGGAGGGGGCCGTGCGTGCCTGGCGTGGGGTGCAGGCCGGGCCTGGCCCCCGCCCCCTGTCACCCGTGCCCACACGTGCACCCGCAAGGCCAGAGTGCAGCAGCGGACCTGGCATCCCCACGGGGGAGCAAGAGCGGGTTCCATCCTTGGAGCTCAGTCTTCAGGGCAATGTGGCCTCGCCACGGAAAAGAACCCTGTGGAACAAACGGCGAGGGAAGCGGTGGCGGGAGACGGCGGGCCGCCCGGGCACGGGGTGCAGACCGCCCGGCCTCCCACAAGCCCCACTCTGCGGTCTCTTTGTCCTGGGTGATCCATTTCCAGCCCAACAAGTTGGACAAAAACACTTTTTTTCTAAATATCCAGGAGGCAGAAATTGGAAACGGCTCAAAGCGTAGAACCAACTTGCAAACGTTCCCGGGACCAGGGTGGTCCTCAGGGCGGGGTCTGGGTGGAGGAGGTGCCCTCGTGCCACCCGAGGTGCAGCTGGGGCCCCACGTGTTGACACCCGCAGCCCGGGTGCCCCCCAGCAAAGTGCAGACGGAGCGTCCCGCTCACGGGGCGGAGCTGCCACACCAGTCGGGCTCCGGGTCTGGAGAGAGGGGGCAGCACCGGAGGCTTCATCCGGAGACGTGAGCGTGCGGCAAGGAGCCTTGGTCCTTCGACACTTGGGGGCCCACAGCCCAGCCCCGGGTCTCAGGTCCCCTCCCCGGTGGGTGCCAGGCACGTGACGTCACTGCCTTGCCCGGGAGCAGGCCGGGCATGGGAGCGGTCACTGGTGAGCGCGGCGTCACCACGGCCCAGTCCCAGAATTCAGTGCACTCCCCTAGTCGCAGCTTCGCCCACTCACCCCGTGGCCCCGCACATGCCGCACCTGCTGACGCCTCCACAGCCACCTCCTTCCGGCCGGACTCCCCGCCTCGTGGAAGACCGTCCCTGCACGGCCCACGGGGCACGCGGGCCCGCCCCTTGCCGGGCGCTGTGCTCAGATGCACGCACGTTGCCCTTCCGGGAACTGGTGGAGTAGAGGGAGCTAGACCGAGACACAGTGAAGATGCTCTCAGCGCCCACGCTGGGTTCTGCCCCCAGGACCTGCTCCCCAGCCCTGGGGGGCCCCCGGGGGTGGGGGCCGTCCTCACAGAGCGCTGCTGCCCGGCACCCCAGCCCACCCCCTGAGCCGGCCTGTCTGATCCGGGAACGGGGCCACGACCCCAAGGGCCAAGCCGCACGGGCCCGAGTCCTGCTGTCCTCCAAGGAGACGGGTGTTGTCCCTTCAGAGCCGCCCTGCGCGGCCCCTTCCGGAACAAGGCCACAGTGTGGGGAGCCACAGTTTGTCATTCCTTGTAGAAGGCTCCCCGCAAGATGGGGTGGGCCCTGGCCCGATGCCAGTGACACCGACTGGGTGTCCCCTCCTGCCCCAGCACATGACGTCAGGACCGGCCACGTGGAAGGGGCGGGTGAACGTGAATTCCAGTTCCTCACTGGCTTTTCTCCCATCCTCCTCCCTCCTTTCTGGGTTTTCATTATCATTTTCTCCAGCGACCGACTCTCTGGCAGGAGGGGCCGGGTCGGTGCCCCGAGGGCCCGGCCTCGCTGGTCAGGCTGCCTCCCTCCTGTGTCCGCACTGCTCCCCACCTCCCCGGGACACTTCCCTGCGAGGACAGTCTTGAGACCCGCCTCGTGACAAGCACAGAACCAAGGCCACGCACAGCTGGTCACACACATCAAGGTGGCTTTCCGGGCTTCTTATGAACAGGAATCGATGACAGAAGCTTCCTCTTCATGTGCGGGTGCCCCTGTCCAGGCAGGGGTGGTGTTCTCTCCCGTGGACGGGGAGTCCCCTGCCCGGTCCCCTCCGGAGGCCACCTTCCTGGCATGCTGTGGGAGGGGACCCCGGGGTCCTGGGGAGACGGGGGAAGGAGGGACCCCCGATGGGAGATGGGAGGGGCTGAGACCGAGGTCTCAGGGAGACACCTCTGAGGCTTCCCAGGGAAGAGGCGGGCACAGTCGGACCGTCCTGCCTCGGAGACAGAGAGGGCCGGGGACAGCGGCAGGAGAGTTCAGGAGACAAGTCTTTCCAGAGAATTCCAAAAGCTGCCCATAGAGAATAAGAATCTATGCCTCCGTGAAATAATAACAAATTTTCATATTCTTAAAAAATAACCATGAGAACACAAGAAAGATCTTCAAAGAAATTAAGCCAAATACAATAGAGGCCATTTTTAAAAATCCATCCAAGAGTTGGAAGATAAAGTCAAGAAAAGTTTCCAGGAAGCGAGACCAAAAGGCCAAGAAATGGAATATAGGACTTAAACCAAAAAACACAGAGGTGTCAGAATAGGAGAGCCACCACTCACTAAGAGAAGGTTTGGAAAGAGAAAAGGGGGAAAACAGAAATAAGGAAATTACCGGAGAATTCAAGAAAACTCCCCAGACCAAGGGCTAAGGTTTTCCAGCTCTAAGGACCCACCACACACCCAGCAAAACGAGCAGAGAGGACCCAGCCCGGCCAGTGCTGCGGAGTTTCAGAAAACCGAGAACAGGCGCTGTGAGAGCTTTCACAGGGAAAGGGAGACCACATACGGGAAGTCAAAATGGCATCAGGCTTCTCAAATAAGCCCCG